TAGCGTAGAAGAGGCTCTTGGATATCTCATATCGCAGAGTCCTTCTCTGTTCCTCAAACAATTTGCGGACATGTAAGAGAATGGATATGGCATCCATCTTTTCATGTTGTCTCTGTAACTCAGGAGTCATAGAGCCCAACATATAGCACTGAGCAAGAGTGGAGTCATCAATGTACTTCACGTAGCGAGTGATCTCATCCTCGCTTGCCCCTTCTTCGGGCGTAGGCATCATTGTATCAAGGACGTACACGATTTTCTCCACCGTGAGAACAATTTGGACCAGTGAGGCAGTTAACATCAAGTATGCCACGTAAGGGATTTGAAAGCGACATTTTCTAAAATAAAGATGCAGCAGAAATGAATAACATGCAGATTTTGCAAGAAATAAACTATCAAGATATGAACTTCTATCTTAATATGCTCCCACTATTTTACTAGCGAGTCACGTGACACCTTCAGCACGTGAAACGGAAGTCTCTGACAGACTTCTAGTGGGGATCAAGATCTACTCAGCGTCTTAGTGTAACCTCGAGGGACTCGACTAATCACACTAAGCCTAAAAGGTAGGCAACTCTTGCCGATCACAACTCCTTGTGATTCCCGTCCTGTTCGACCTCCAAATCACCATGGTCTCGAGGGACTCGACCAACCATTATGCTCGGTTAAGTCGTGACATCTCTATGTCGTAAGCAAGATAGCGAATCGCGATATAGGTGAGTCTCGAGGGACTCGACCAACTCAACTTACACCGGGAATCGGTTCCTACTTATAACGATGGAATGCCACGTGGATCAATCTAATTGTCTCACGTTTACCGACTTAATATTATCGAGAGAGATGTTTTTATGATTTGATCTCCTAATATGACATGTCACACATATACATATTTAATATATATCTACATCGTATGCAAATATATATACATATCTAGTATGTATATAAGCAATCACACCAGATGATCATGGACCACAACCTAATATGATTAGGCCCAAGCCAGTAAGCCTAATCACTCACATCAAGATCTATGTGTGCAACGATGCATCTCTATGCTTTGTGATCGTACATCTTGTCCTCATCGGTTCCGTCGACATCTCGATGCATCTTCATGCATCGCGATCATCTGTCTCATGGGTCCCGCTATCGCATCCTAGCTCCCGCTGTGCCTCCTCATGTGATTACAACTTAATCATAGGCACGCAGGCCCGACAATACACGAGAAATATAATGGAGGCTCGTAGACCCCAATAATAATAATCATAAGTACACACATCACACGGTCCATGATCATCCGTCCACACATCATACATCACATGTATAAATAATCATCATGTAGGACTATTAGATAATAATAAAAATAATAATCAACTAAACCTTTTAATTAATTAATATTTTCTGAAATCAGGGATATGTAGGGAATTTCTGAATTCCTAGGGGTATTTTCGTAATTTGGATAAAAGATAGAAAATAGAATTTTTGAAATTCACAGGGGCAAAACTGTCTTTTTGCCCAAAACCCTAACCCCCTCACCCCTGCTGCTGTTGCCGCCGCCGCCACCCTGCCGGCGGCAGGCTGTGCGGCGGAGGGCGGGGCGCTGCCCTCGCCTACAGGAGGCGTGCCCGCGGGCGGTACCGCCACTGCAGTTGGTCGCACCCGCAGGCGGGCGCCCCTGCTGTCACCGCCACCCTTGCGGG